GGGGAATTCTGGGAGTTGAAGTCCACACATCTTAAAGTTACTGAGGTTGAGAAACACTGCTATAATCCATGCAGCAGGTTGCATTTGAAATGGAGAGTTTCAGAAGCAGTTTATATTTTTGCTGGTATTAGTTCCATGAAAAGAGCTTAAATATAAGGCAAGTTGCCCGTAAGAGCTTGAATGCTTGTAAAATAACTCTTGAGTTGAGGATCCATATATTAAAGTTAGAGAATTGGTACCATGTCAGTGTTCTGAAGGAACGGTACCCTTTAATTCTGACTTGGTTTCACTTGTTAGCAGAAACATCTAGTAGAAAACCCAGGACTTTTCTAACCATAGTTGGTTCAGCCTCAGATCCATGCCAAGCTTATTTCTCTCTTAAGAAGCCAAGAGCAAATCTAGGCTTAGGGTGAAATAAGCCAGCAATCCTGGTTGGAGGTGTCTATAGGTTTATGTGTCAAAAAAGTCGTCAGCCTTGATCAATGTCCTATGCCTTTTTCATTGCATTGCACAGAAAAAGGAATAGAGTTTTGATTGCATAGTCACGGCTGCCATCTTGACCTTTTTGACCCACACATCCTTGTGGACACTCATGTTCTGATTCAAGGGTAATGCTAAACAGATCATAGGGGGAGCTTCCCAGTTTGTTTAGCCACTCCCATTTCTGGGAGAAGCAAAGGGAGAATGGTTAGAATGGGGTACCCAAAAAAGCCGGTTCCTTTCTTTCTGAATCCCTGGGCCCTCTGAATTTGCACCCTTTGTTGCATCACATTCCCAGAAGTATGTAAAAAACAACAGTTGATTTTCTAAATGCTGAAAAAATGTTAACATCCATAGTCTCATCATTGTTTTCTTTTTCAATTCAGTCTACTGAACAAAAACATGATTATGTATTAAAACGTTAGTGGCATGAATATTCTTTTATTGACATCGTTTTTCCTCTTTCTTTTTCTTTTCTCCTTTATCCCAACTTTCACATTTTTGGATGTTTTTATTGCCTTTGTCTTTGATTTTTATCCATTGCACATCTGAAGTGACAAAGAATTGTTAACGCAGACTAGGACTATTGCTATGACTTTGGTGAAATGTTCCAGCCGCGAAGGGCAGCCCCAGTACAAGCTGGTTAAAGATATATCATTTTGAAGCTGAGCCTCTTGCAATTCGTAACGGAGCAAACAATCAGCAGTGTTTAAAAAGAAAATGAGCTTTGAATTATGATGCTTGGATTTGAGTCTCTTGTCCATGTATTTGGCTTACTTGGGATACACATGTAGTATTCTCACCTGGCAGTGTTTCTGACACTGACCTCCTGCTTTGTCTTTCCGAAATGAAGTGACATTAGAAATATTGATCTAGCAGTTTCCAGTTGGAATTAATGTGAATTTTTCAAAATCACAGTGTTCTTACATAGCAAATGATAAAGAGAAACTGAACCTTAAATTCAGCTAGCACAATTTTTATGACAGTTAGTGAAGCTGGTAGGGAAGAATGGTTCAGAGAAGATCTTACGGATTGTAATGGTTGGTGTTTTGATAAGGACAAGAGTTAAAACATGGTCTTCCAGGATACTTTTCTTTAGTATATTTACCTTTGCACAATGTTTTCTGTAAGAAGTGTAGATGTGCACCACAGTTATGCTGGGAGAATTATATTTTGCTTTAAAAAAGGAATTAAATTGGAAATCCACCGTGCTTTGGGCTGAAGAAGTAGTGAAATCGAAATTAATTGGTGGACATAGTGAAGCATAGAACCTTTTTAGTGGAATATATGCATACATCTACTTCCTGGTACAGAAGAAGAAAGAGGGACTGATGGATTTTTTTTTTTTTTTTGGTTCACAGTTGATAGCATCCTGTCATGGAATGGAGATAACTGATCATTTGCTTGTGCTCAGATGTCTGCATGGAATCCTGGGTAGAAAGGTTTCTCAGTTCATTTTTTGGGAAGGGGCTTTCTCCCAAGCCCCTGCCTTTAAAACTAAGGGGAATCATCCTTACAGATGATGGTGCTTCAGAAACATATTAGTATTAAAGCAGGAGCACCAGGGGCCAAAAAAGTCAAGATGGCAGCTGCAACCATGCTACAGAAGCCCCGCCCCCTTTTTACACAGAATGCATGCGAAAGGGGCAGGGCTTAGATCACACAGTGGCTGCTGGCATTTTGAGATTTTAACCCCCTCCTGTGCAGACATCCCTGCATTAGAGCTCAAGATAAACCCCCGTTCAACATTTTTTACAGGATTTGTGGATGATTTCTACAGATTTCTCTAGGGACAGCGGGTGTTTTCAAGAGCAAGATTCCCCCTCCAAGGTTGGACTGAAAAAGCCCAGTGCGCGGAGTCCCCTCCCAGTTTGATTGTCCTTGGGACATAGGAGATGCACGGGAAGCTGGGGCGATGATCAATTTCCCTTTTCCTTGGAAAGAATTTTTAAAGCAAGTTGACTATCAGATTGAATGAGAACGGATAGAAAAAGTCTAGGAGGATTTCTCTGCCAGGCAGCATAGATCTGTTCTCTCATCCGGTCTCAAAACCTGGACGGGAATCCAACTATTTACATGTGAACTGACACCACAGATCGCAGTTAGTGACTTTCCTTGGCATATATTGTGTTGAGCCTCAAATGCACTATTTGTGTTCTGGATTCAATCATCCAGTGTTCTGCATCAGTGGGAGATGAGGGTCAAAAAAGTCAAGATGGTGGCTATGACCACATGGTCATGGCCACCATTTTGGTTCTTTTCACCACCCTTTAGGACACTCCTGTGCCCTTGCTTTCTTCTTTTGTGAAGCTGGTTGATTTGGGTATAGATTTGATGTTTCATTTTCCTTTTCAAAAAAGAAGTAATATCCATAAATCAGCAAAAATGCTTAGTCAGCACTCTGTATGTATAAAACCTAAAATATGTATCACTCTGCAGTGATGGCATCTGTTTATCATGAATCCCAAATAAAAAAAAAATGGAGAAACTTATGGATGTTTTGTTGTTATGGTGAGATGTATAATGTGAATTTCTAGGCATTGTCTGGGTCTCTCATTTGAGTTAGTGAGTTTATCCCCAAACTTTGTTTTCATTTAGAAATGTTCTATTTCCCCATTTTTTTCTTTTATTTGTCTTCATCCTTTACATCCAAATTCTAGCTTCAGTTTTACCCAAAGTTGATTTGAATTACACCAGATTGCAGCAAGCAGAGAAGGCTCACATGGAGGCAGACAGTGAGGACAAGAAATTTAAACAAGATTATATGAGTAAATCTGAAAGTCTCCAGAAAGAAATTGCCCAAAAGGAAAACCAAGTGTAAGTAACATTGATTTTGCGGAAGCTGGAATACTTTTAATATTTTATTATAAATATTTTAATATTTATATAATGTCAGTGTATACTTGTAATTTATCAAACCAATATATCCTGTCCCGGGTATATTTTTCCTTACAGAAATTTGTACAGACTTACAAAATATTATTTCATGGAAATGATTAAGGTGCACGATTAGGAACCAGGAGATGGTGAGTTCTAGTCTTCCCTTAGACAGAGAACTTGCCTAGGTGACTTTGGGCCAGTCGGTCTCCCTCAGCCCAAGCCACCTCACAGGGCTGTTGTTTTGGAGAAAATAGGAGGAGGAAACATTACTCCCTCTGCCTTGAATTAAACAAAATAAAGGTGGGATACCAATCTAATACATACATACATACATTTCAATCATTGTCTTTTACATTTTATTTTCTCAGATTAATTTCCTAAGAAATATCATGATTTTCCCCCCTCAGTAGACTATAGCAGAAAATCATGATATCATGCTGGCTGGGGAATTCTGGGAGTTGAAGTCCACGCATCTTAAAATTGCCAAGATTCAGGAATACTCTACTATAGTACATGGATAATGTATGTTGAATTAAACAGTCACAGAATGATCAAATTGTAGAATTGGAAGGGACCTTGGAGGTCTTCTAGTCCAACCCCCCGCCCAGAGCAGGAATCCTCAGACCATCCCCAGCCGGTGGCTGTCCAGCCTTGGTTTGAAGACCTCTGGTGATAGAGCACCATGACTCCAGGAGCCAGGCTGTTCCACAGTTTCATAGCTCTCGTGGCCAAGCAAGTCCTCCTTATTTCAAGTGTGGTCTCCCTCTATAAAGCTTCCACCAGCTGGTTCTTGTCTTGCCTTCGCCACGAAGGAGAATAAGAAATCCACAGCCTCCTTCCTGTGACAGCCTGTCAAGCATGGGAAGAGTCTTTCGCCTCTCAACAAGACTGGGGTCCTGATCCTCAAGCAGTTTGGTGGAGCTCATGGAAGCATTTATGCCTGAGCAAGTAACTGCAAAGCCACCGTGTCGATTTTGAAACTCCTTTGAGTTTCCTGTCAGGCCAGGGAGGCCTGTGCTTAAAAAAAGGGAAAACCTTGCAGATTCTTAAGCTCCTGAAACTCATTTAAGCTTTGTCTGTCCTTTTCCCGATAGCCATAACTAGTTTTTGTCCAAATGGCAGTTTTAAAAAGAAATTATATGACTTGAAGAAAAACTCTGGTGTGTTTTTGTGAACATGAATAACTCCAAACCACAAATGCAAATTTCAAACTAAGTTGGAGAATTGAATAGCTAAGCTATGATCCTGGCAACGCCAGCCAGCATGGGGAAGAAAGAGAAAGAGAAGAACCTAACATTTAGGAAACATTTTTAGGTCAAACTAGAGAATATGTAAAATGTAATTAAGTGATTACACATTTCATGTTCAGTCTAGTTTAACAACTTTATAAGATGCAGCTTCCTCCTTGTGGGTTTATTTTGAGGTATTGTGATTATATAAGGATTTATTTGGGCTTTATATCTCTCACTGTTTCTACCCAAACAATAATTTTCAATAAATCAATAACAATAAAATTAGAAAACATACAAAAAATGAGGTTCTGAGACATTCCTTTAAGGTGTCTCAGAAAATGTAGTCCTTGTAAGAGGAGAAAAAAAAGAGTAAGTGAACAACTTCTTTCTTTTAAAAAAATTGTTAATGTTCTATCATTTATTTTTGAAAGGGTCTGTTAAGCATAATATCAAGCACCTACTATTAGATTTATGCCATGATTTAAAGGATGTGAACTGTTTATCATGTAGTTTATGGCACTGGTTAATTTTAAAGGAACATTTATCTAATTATATAACATATTAAAATATTACATAAATTAAAATGAAGCTAGTGGAATATGAAAATATTCTTCCAGCTTGAATGAATTTTTAAATATTCTATATTTTTAGGTGTCAATTGGAGACAGATTTGAAAATAGAGAGAGAATGGAGACAAACCATGGAAGAGGACCTTAAAAAGGAAAAAGAAACAACATGTTTTCTAAAAACAGAGACTCAGCAAATCATTACCCTTAAAAAAGTAATTTCTCAAAACTTGAATCTTGGTTTAAAACAGTAGAGGGACAGGGGAGAGGAACTTGGGCCAGGAAGCGCCTTCGCAGCCTTCATGAGGTGGGCGTTGGGGGTTTTCAGGGAGGGGCCACCTGAGGAGGGCTTTGGAAGACTTCTTGGGGGTCGAGGTGGGTGGCAAGTGGGAGAAGAGCTCTTTTGCCTGGGTCTTTGTGGTGGCAAGCAAAGATGGTATTTTTATAACCATTTATACAGGGGGAAAAAGGAGAGGGGAATCACTGATCATGATCCTGGTGGGCTTCTCCAAAGACATATTAACAAATGCCTAATATTGACTTAATGGCTACCTCTGAATATGTCAAGGTGAGCTGTTCAGATTTTGTTTAGGAGTCGGGGCCCTTGTTTCACAAAGAAATGGAAATGAAATTGTCTCCATCAAATGTGAATATTCAGAAATAGTATACTTTTCTCAGTCTATTCGATTTGGGGGTGCTAGTTGTCACATTTAGGTGACGATCAGTGCTAGTTAGCATTTCCCTCTATTTTTAGATTTTACAGAATTAATCTGGGATTCTTAATTTTCATAAATTGGCATCATGCGGGGGGGGTGTTAAAAATATGGCTGCAACTGCATGATCAAAGCTTAATCATGTGGTCATGAACACCATCTTGACTTTTTTTGACTGTCCCTGGATATATTCTGTTTTCTGCCAATTAATTCTAGGATCTGATTCAAGGAAGCTCTGAGCTCGCTCAAATGGGGATACCATCAGCTGGGGCATTCCTTGAAGTTTTTATTTTATTGCCATGTTTATCTCTCAAAATTCTCATGCTCTGCTCCTCACATTAATTAGCTTGAGTAAAGTTGTCATCACTTTATCCTTCCTCCTTAAATTATTTTTTAATTTTTTCCCATTTGTCTTTTGCTCCACTCTTGCTCATTATCTGCTATGGCTTTTAAAAGAGTTTATTTCTCCAATATTGTTAATGCTTTCCTTGACTCAATTGATTAGATGGGCACAAGTGGCTCTCTCAAGATGCCCGTACATACAAGGAACACATGTATCTGAAAAGAGATTGGTGGGAGATTGGTCTTCCTCAAAGACATAGTTTATGTTTAGCTGTCCACATGCAAAGTGAGCTTTTCTGTCGACTTACATGGAAGTGATGGTATCTGTCTATCTGTCTGCCTGTCTATCTATCCATCTATCATCTATCTATATCATCTATGTCATCTTATCATCTATGTATCATCTATCTGTCATCTATCTATATCATCTATCATCTACCTATCTATCTATATATCTATCTATGCTGGGTGGGGAATTCTGGGAATTGAAATTCACACATCTTCAAGTTGCCAAGTTTGAAAAACACTGATCTGTCCTGTTCTGACATGAATCCTTACTCTTGCACTAGCTCTGAATAATTGTTTCTGGGAATCAATATAGTCTTGATAATCTGGTTTTCCCTTTCATTGGGTGCCTGTTTGAACCTAAGAAATGCCTGATGTACACTCCTCAATGATAAAATATTGTCATGCTGTATGTATTGATGTAATTTAATTATGTTTGTTTGTATTTAAGGAATTCCTAAAATTACAGGGAAAAAACAAGCAGCTGAGAAATCTATGTCATGATCAAGAAGAAGCTCTCCAAGAACTAGCTGGCAAACTTAGCGAGTAATTTTCCTTTCTTTTTCTTTTAGGGAAGGGGCATAATTATCCAGGTATCCCAGTGTGCAATGGACTGATTAGGAATCATTTATAATTTAAGTATTACGTGCTCTGTTGGCAAACTGTCTGTTGTTCATGGGTACAGATCTGCAACCAGTAGAGTTCATGGGTACAGATCTGCAACCTCTAAGAGCATGTACACACAGACCATTTTAAGTGTCAACAGCCAAGTCAGGATCTATGCTTGCTAGGTAACCAGATCTTCAGAAGTTTCCATGTGCAGTAAACGTCACATCGGCAGTAGACTCTATTAGTGTGGGAGAAGGAAGTATAAGACATTTTCTAGGTATTATAGGACCTTCCATGAATTTAGTTCAGGATAAGAAGGATTTACATTTTTACAGGGCCCATCTAACCCATTGCCCATACTAGTGCGATTTCAAGTAGCAAAGAATTCAGCCTCAGAATTTCAGAACTGAAATGAGTTATTGGTACATGATTATAAAGAAACAGTAAAATATAAAAAAGACTAAAAAAAACCCTAAATTACATTGAAAACACCAGACAACCTCTGCTTACGTTTTTTTCTACTTGCAAGATATGCTGAACCAAATGGGACTTAACTTCTGAATGGTCCCACAATAGGACTGAGCTGTAAAACAGACAATAAGATACTTTTATTTCACATGAGATTCTTGATGTTATTGATCTTTCATTTTGAGTTCTTAAGTATGCCTGAATTCCAAATTATAGCTAAGTTTTAAAGTGAAAGAACCTCCAGCAGATTGTCATCACAAAAATGAACAAGTTCTTACTTAAATAACAAAAGGGCTAAATAAATACATTCATAAAAATATTATAGGAATAAAGAATATATAAATTCTGAAAGCAAAGCCAGGCCCTTCATTTCCCTTCCAATCAAGCTACCTATGAATTAGATCATTTAAAGTAATTCTAGGTTTCAGGGTACCTTCTAAGTGAAATTGGATAAAAGTATTCTGTTTTCCATGAAAGCTTATGCCATGGTAACTATGTTAGATGTTCCAGTCTTTTGAGAGAAGTACATTATTTTCAAAGCCCAGAACGCCCCCGATATCCTGAGCTTTTTTTAGTGATCAGAGGAGGACTCAACTTTTTTTTTAAATCACCGTTTTTGTATAGGCAGTTTTCTAGTTGGGAAATGGTGTTTAATTGTAGTCATTTTCACTTGGATTGTCAGCAAGTTGTATCCAAACAGTGTGTCTAAAACAGCAATTGTTGCTCACTGCTGCCAGATTCTTGTACTGTATTCCCGAGTTGCTAAGAGTGTAAGCAAGGCCTTTCCAATTTGTTAATAGGAACTGCTCCTCAACACAGCTTTTCTCTTTGATATCATCAAAGGGCTCAGATTTCTCACAAAGTCAGTTTCTTTGTCTCATCAAACATTAGTGTGACCGCCCCCCCCCGCCCCGAAGCAGCATTTCCATTGCCGTGAGTGTTGTAAACTGCCAAGAGTTTAAACTTTGGGGTGTGTACTTACCCTTTTATTTTAAATATTTGAAGGCTGCCTTTGATGAACCTGAGGCAGTTATGCATAAATGGAATCATATAAATAAAATAAATAGGAGTCTCACAGTGAAAAAAGCTATACAGAAATAATGAAGGCTGCCTAAAATAAATGAGTTTTGTTATCTCTGAAACTCTCTGAAAAAGTCTCTTTCTGGACTGTTTGAGAGAAATTATTCCAAAGCATTTTAGCAATACCTGCAAAGGCTCATCTTCTCCTTGTAAAGTGCTCAGTTCGCACCAGAGTTTAGCTTGCAAATTGTGAGCAGTGTGGAACTCATTGGGGAATACATAGATGGGGATGAAACCTCCATAGTAACACCCAAGTCTAATTCCAGGAATGGCGAAGGGTGTTCAGTGAGTTTCCTATCTGCAGGTAAACACTGACTAGGAAGAGGGATGAGCTACTGCACCTTCAAATTCAGGCTGGAATCTCCAGAAGTACTGATGTATGTGCCCCTTATTTATATTTATTGGCCCATAATTTCTAAATCATGTCTTCTCTTTAGATCAAAGCTTAAAATAGAAGATATAAAAGAAGCAAACAAAACGCTTCAGGTTAGTAATGTTTGGGGTGGTAACCGACATCCAGAATGGATTCTTCCATTAATTTCAAATATTAGTTTTTCTGCCTTAAGCTCACAGCTTCCTTTTCAAATTGGAGCATAAACTGTAATATGCATATTGTCATTGTGCATTTGGATTCTATTCCAGGGTGTACAAAACATTTTCAATTTGAAATATGTTGTTCTGATGTTACCAGAAGTGTTCCTGTGCTGTGTTTCAAGCTCAGAATTATTTCCAGGAGAGTTGGAACACTTCCAGGTTAAGATGGGAACAGCCATTTCAAATTTAAAAAGTTTTTTTGCATACCTTTACTCTGGTCCTAGTTTTGTTTTTTAATTAATTTTTTAAAAATGATAATTCAGTACATTTCAGATGAGGATCAACAAATTCACACACAACTTTTGCAGTTGAATCCATTCACTTTCTCTGAACTGAAACTCTTATTTTACAAAGGACTACTTCTGCTGAAAGATTTCAGTTTGTGAATGGCTTATCCCAATTAATGTTGCCTTTTTATAAATCCTGAATGGCATGTAACTAAAAGAGTTTTGAACCTGCAGTGGTTCTGTTCAGATAGCATCTTTTCTCCTCACTAGGGTCTGGTCTGGCTGAAGGACAAAGAAGCTACTCACTGCAAATTATGTGAAAAAGAATTTTCTCTTTCCAAGAGGAAGGTGAGTTTACATTAAAAGTTGTCTTGTCTTTCATTAAGTAAAACTGATAAAAACCTGGAAATGTGTCAAGTGCCAGAAGATGTAAATGTGCACTAAATCTCATCAGTTGGTATGAATTAAAAAAAAATATTTTCAGTCACCAGATGGACATTTTCACCAATCATTTGGCTCAAGTCAATTATTTTTCTCTGAAGATATACTGTAGAAAATAATTCTACAATAGCGAATTCTTATTTTTAAGAACAAACTTTGATCAGATATTAGAATATTTGTACAGCTGTTTTACTGATTCTGTAAGTAGCAGTCAATAAAATTGGGAGAATTTCTGTAATGATTTTCAAAATAAAATATCTTCAGGGGTGGGTACATCTATGTTTACCCACAAAAATAGGTACATAGGCTGGTAGAGACTTAAATTACCATTGGTTACATTGCTTAGTTCACAAATTATATTGGCATCAAAATCTTTTTCTTTTGATTTAGCATCATTGTAGAAACTGTGGTGAAATTTTCTGCAATGCCTGCTCTGACAACGAGCTGCCTTTGCCATCTTCACCAAAGCCTGTGCGCGTCTGTGATTCCTGTCATGCGCTGCTCATACAGAGGTGTTCTTCCAATGTGCCCTAAGTCATCTACAGAAAAGTTATAAAATGTTCACTATGAGGCTGAGTGCTGTTGTGTTGGCTACTTGTATATTCCTGCAACTCCAGCTTAATGCCATTAACTTGTCAAAATAATGGAAACCCTTGTTCCTAAGTCTTTGTGCCATTGTTCTTGCGATGCCAGAATCAAAGTCTTGTTTTGTGTGGTTGTGCTGAGGCAATGATTGAAATGCATCTGCTTTGCAAGTTACTGTATCATCCATCTGTAGGGATGGAGGCAGAAATGTTCTGCTTCTGTTTTATCATGCCAGTGGACTATTCCAGTATATAGTACAGAATTGTGCAACTTGACCTGGTAACTGAAAGCCTAAGCTGACAACAGGGAAGCCGAGAAGCTGAAACTGAAGAGGAGCGGGATAAAGTTACATGTCAAACTACACATACTTGTGTAGTTTGGTGTCCTCCCTGACCCTTCCCTCTGAAAAAGCTTTGTCGCTTCTGTATGGGCAAACTTAACTAGGCAAATTATAAACAAATGGCTCCAAATAATATAATTGTTCTGGTGGCAGAACTGGGTTATTTTCTTGTGTATTTGTGTGCAGTTCTTTCAAATACAAGTGGGCCTCTGATTCCAGCTTCTGCAGGTTTAAATTGAATAGGTAGGAGGTAGAGGATCTAATTTAGCAAAATGGAAGGCTTTGCCTCTCATGGGGAGATTCACGTTCTGGATCCACCTAGAACAGAGATCAGTCAGGGCTGAGAGGTTTCCTCTCGGAGGCTCAGATGAGAAAGGATAGGGAGAGAAGGGTATCTTGTGGGGCTAAACCTCTGGAATCAAATTCCATTGTGAACTTCCCCAAGTGGCTGAAATGCAGTAGTTACAACAGTTGAAAAATAACCCTTCATATTCCGAGGAAGGGTAGCAGGCACGCTTGAGGGATGACTCTTTCCTATACAGTAGTTGTCACAGACAAGTGATGCCACCTAACGAGATTGCCAGAGAAACAACTTTAGATGAGTTCTCCACATATTGTATACGATTGGTGGGGGTAGAGTGTGTAAAAAGAATGTATCTTAAAAATTGTCTTCAAGTACTTATTTTAGAAACAAGCCTAGTTGGACTTTTTATATAGTAGAGCTTTTATATGTATGCACAAGCTTGCACTTCTTTCCAATGTAAACTTATCTGAAATTATCTATAAAGGACATAGAAATGTACTTACAAACTGTAGCAGACTATCAAATGAACTTTTAACAGAGCAGGTTGGGATAGTACTGCTTGTGCCATTTTATTTACCTTGTAGGAGTAGTAAAAAAAAAGATTCCTTATTTAAGTCAACTTTTTTGAAAACTGCTATCTGATTAATAATTTTATCTGAAAAGTGGAGGATGTAGTAAGAAGGAACGGTAGTCTTGTTGCTCTGCTGATAGGTTGTTTCTAATAGACATTGCATCCAAGTACTGGAGATTTAAGATAAACGATCACCTTTTTTAAAAGAACGGCAGTTGTAAACAATGATCAGTTGCTAACTTTTTTATAGCATGACAGGAGATCCAGTAAATTACACTGTCCTTTGCTCTACCAAAAGTATTATCTGGTCCATTCCTATTGTGTAAATACTAAAGCACGGGAGACCTCTGGGTGATCTGTATGGCACCTGAAACTAGCTCCTACAGGACTGGCTGCTATTTAAAATACAGCTTAGATGAACTCTCAGTGTTAATAAGAAAGGAAAACTGTACAACAGGCCCAAGGCATTGCAAGTAATTATAACGAGCTACTGCCACACACCTCATTTTGATGATGATGATGCTATCTGTTCAGTTGTGTCTGATCCTCAGTGATTCTGTGGGCCAGCGCTCTCATTTTCCGATCTTTTACAGCTTCTTTCTGTTGTTTTATGCTCTGGTTGGTGTCAGCTTTGATGGTGTCTAGCCACCGTGTTTTTTGGTGGCCTCATTTCCTTTTACTACTGACCATTTCGAATATAACTGTCTTTTCCAGTGAGTCTGATCATACATGGCCAAAATGAGGCAGAATTTTGTGATTTTGCTGTCTTTCAAAAGAATTACACTTTTGCATTTGGTCACTTTTCTAATCCACTGCAAAAATGGAAGGCTACAGCCATTTGATACAATGCTCAGTAATGTGCTGAGCACACTTGAAAGCAGTTTTTAATGTGAAAACATCACTTATTCAAAAGTTGGAATGCATTTATTTTTCATTGGATTTTGAAATACTCAGTCTTCCATAACCTGGTGCCTTCCAGATGTGTTAAAAATGCGGAGTTGTAGAATCAGTACAAGACCCATGAAAGGCAAATATAACTATTGAGGTCAATAGAAGTTGGTGCAGTGATGCACTGTTCTGTAATTGTAATTAGTTTTCAGTATGTTTTAAGGGATAATACCTAAAGCATAGATAACCTGTTACAGATGTTAAGGGATAGTACAAGAAATAGTACAAGGGCAACTCCCTGTCTGTAAGAGCTGTCAGCAGTAGAACAGGCTACCACATGAAACAGTGAGTTCTCATTCATGAGAGGCTGGATGGTCAGCAGTGGCTGGGGAATTCTGGGAGTTGAAGTCCATACATCTTCAAGTTCCTGAGGTTCAGAAACCCTGCTTTGGTGGATTGTTCAGTGAGCAGAGACTTTTCTAAGGGGAAGAAGGTCTCTTCCAACTCAATAATTCTGAAATTCTTGTATCAAAATGTCAAAGTAAATCTTAACAACCATACAACTGATGTACTAATAGTTCATTACAAATTCATGAGTTATTAAATAACTGACATATTTTGTCATTTTTCACCCTTATCCCATATCATTTGTGAAATGATTGGTTTACTGATTAATCACTAGAGCTATGCGGTGGTTCAGATTCAATCCCCAAATGGTGCTTTGGAGCATGACACCTGTCTACAATTCTTTAAAGCATGTCCGTTCATGGGTTTGCAGGGCAACCACAACCCTGAGAAAAGACACAGAAATGCTAAATAATTGCAGACAGAATTGTTTGCACCTACAGAGGCTCTGAAGCATTTTGGAAACTAAATCCGAAAAGAGCAATTTTATTGGCTGTGTAATCAGCTCCTCTTCAGTTTCAGCTGTTAAATTAGGTCAAAACTCAAGACTGTCCAATCCTTGAAGAAATATGGGCTTGGAATCTTCATCAAAGTTTCATTATTCCTTTCTTATGTACAAACATTGTCTAAGAACAAGCTGCTAATTTCTGTGGTGGAAATGTGCCAAGTTTTTAAATTGACCTATGCATACTGTGAAGGTTTTTTTTAAAAAAGCATAGCTTTAGGATTGACTATTATGGATTCTCAGTTCAATCACCTGAAAGATATCAAGCAATGCATTCTGGATCTAGGCTTACAGAGGGAAAGGAGCAGAATTTTTTACAGGTTGACATTAGCCTTTGGAACAGACCTTTATTTACTCCTAAGTATTTACACAACATTCTCACTGTCCTTCACAGGTGGTTTTAGGCTGTCCAGGCTTAATCCCATGCCAACAAGGCTTCTGGAAAGGAAGTATAGCAATCTTCCCTTCCCGGAACGAATTGCATGGAGGGTGTCATTGATTCAACATCACACATATTGTTGTGCCATACATGATGCTCTGAATTAATATCACCCTTCCTTGTAAATTGCTCCAAATATATCATGGAATGTGTTGTTCTGTTAGTTGGCAAATCCTTAGAAATCTCAAAAAAGGTAGCAAAATATTGTTCAGTCATGATTGCTTCAGGAAACTCTGGGTATAATTAAATTCTGATACTGTTCCATGTCAGAAGACAACTGTTTTTGTCTTTTAGCATTTTACTTTATTACATGTTTGGTGTTTGAAATTTTACATGGAATTTTGGTCTATGACCATAAATTTGATTAATTTAAAATACAAATGTTTGTAAACATTGGAAGAAAAATAAATATCCAACAATTTTCAGCATGCCCTGGTAATGCTCAAAAAGTCACTCACTTTGTTGATATGCACTTAGTATACATGGAATTGCCATGTAATAGGAGGTGATGCACACATATTTCCATTAAATCAAAAGTATTCAATTTTTTCCCAGTAAGTTGAGTTAATCTTGTAACCAGTATGCTGGTCCCATGTGACCAGGAGGTGCACAGCACTAATGTTTACAAAGGGTAGTTCATTAAGGAATGAGTGAGTTTTGTTATGAATCATGCTAATGCCACACCATGTTAGCAATTTTGGTGTAGGAAATAACAGGGTCTTCCATACACATATTGAATTCACCATTTAGCCCCACAAGGAACTTAACCTGAATGAGCGTTGAAGCTGATTCAACTGCACTAATCTTAGAATTCATTCTACATATTTAGAATGAAGAGTGAAACTGATGCCAGGATGATCCACCCCACCTGCACCTCTTGTGCCACAGACTTAATATATTGGTTAACAGAGGCTTACGTGATAAAGTCCTTGTTTTGATAGCCATGTCATTTGGCGTTTGATTGTATGATCCTGTTAATACACCCTATCATCTATGCGCTCCTTGTGCTATTAAATGCCTTGAACAGTGTCTACTTTGGGGTACATTTGGAAAAAAAGTTTTCAGAAAACAGAACAGGCATGACAGGACAACAGGGATAATCAAGGACTGAAAGGAAGCTTTAGAAGATGCCAAACGAGCTTTTCAAGTACCTGATGGAGTGTGACAAGCTGAGTCAAGACCTGTCTCTGTAATTCACAGGCAGATGCCAGTTGAATTTTACGGGTTTTTTTCTAACACCAAGTGATTCAACACTGGAACCTATTGCTAAGGGAGGCTCTTTACTAAGATTATTTTCTCGTTGTATTCAAGCAAAGGTATTTTAACTTGGATTTCTGCATAGAAGAGAGGATTAGATAAAATGGCTTAAAAAGCCTTTTAGTCATTGTTTGCTTTTCCTGTTTTTTAATTTTCTCTTTATTGTTGTACATTTTTACACCACAAACAGTTTTATCCAACACTATCCAGGAAAGACGACATAATATAATTTAGTTTTTTGGCAAAACCAGTGACGTTAATAAGGATGGTTTATAAGGAAAGGACTACAGTACTACAGTAGATAGCCTACCTGAAATTTTAATAGCATCTGTTACCAAACTTCCTCCTGGTTCATTTTATGGAAGACAGGCTGCATTGGGTAAAGCACACTGAAATCATGGATCTCGCTTTTGTTTTTCCTATTTCATCTGCTCTATAAAACCTTTCAGGATCCTAAGATTTGTAAACAGGAAATCTTCAGAATAAAAAATGGCTGGCTATTATGACACATGTGGCCCCTGTCTGTATAAACTTTTCTGAGAACAAAACTCATCTACAAATCAACACTTTTAGCTTTGGAATTACAGTATTAAATATAAACTTGTATCTTTTCCATTTTTCTGTGCCTCACGAAATTCTCATACTTACCTCTCTGTTGAGCATCAAGCCTTGATGCAAATATGCTCAACCAAAAAGAACCCCTCCTTATGGGACTAAATTACTTACGTTTTTGGTACAAACCTAGAAGGTGTTTCTCTTGTACAGACATTTTGTACGAATTAGAAAAGATTAAGATTTGCATTGTTTTGCCCCTCAGTTAGATAAATTGACACAACACATGTCCTAGAATGAAATCTATTTTGCTATCTCCCACAAGACATTTATTACATACATAACATTACTAGCAAAAACAGGCAACAAACTTTCAATTTATCACATTTGACAAATTATTCTGAAGAATTTGGAGGACAAGCAATTGAAACAAACAAAAAACCCTTGAATATTTAGTACCTTTTCTTCAATACACAGAAAATGCTTAAGTGTCTAAACAGTATTTCATCCAAACAATCTTACATGTTAAAAATGCAAAACAAGAGGACCACTTAATTTGTGTAGCTTATTAATCTGTCAGGCTTTCAGGTGGAAGTGTTGGCTGCCAGACAGGCCACAGAACCCTTACATAGGTGTCTTCAGCAACAGAAACGGCATCCCCAAGTCAATTCTGTTTTATTTTTAAGAAGTGTACGTTACTTCTCTATCAATGTTAATATAGTCCATTAATGTAATAGTTTTCTGTTTTTCTCCCATATCTTTTCCATATAGTATTCATTAACTCATCTCAAATTTTGATTGCCAAGAAAACAAGGTGAAGATTGAGACCATGTTTTCTACCAATACCTTATACTTTAAATGTTATGAGAATTCTGACATGCATATAGCTCAGACGACAATCAGGTTTTGGGTAGCAGTTGTGCATTAGGTCATTCCAGAACTTTAACTCATGGCCTTCATGTCCTGCACAGTTTTGAGACATTCTGCCATGGGAATTAGTCTTCACTGACAATTTATTAACTAAAAGAAACTACCTTACACTTGCTTTCATTCTGAACCTCAACAAATGTAACATAAACCTGATGGTTATTTTATTTCATAGGATGTAGAATCAATAATATGAACTTATAGTACTAATGAACCAAATTTCTTAAACAAAATCCTGGGATACGCAACTATCTTTAGGAGGAGCTAGTATAAAAACTATCAACATCAGTGGTTTGAATATAAAAAATTTATTTAAAGTCAGAGTATGCAACAAATAAAACCTACAGAAAACAGATTTCCCCATCACAATCTGATGCTTACCAAATAATGGGAAAACACATTCCTTCAGTCATTATAAAGTTTTCAATACAAAAGAAATTTAAGTTTTGTAAGAAAGCCTAGTAGACCAAGTACTGTTTCCTTCCAACACGCTTTGGAGACACAATGATACTCTTCAATACATTCCACGCCAGCCACCTCCTCCCATGTTGCCTTGCCCGTAATATCCACCACTATTTCCGCTGCCACGACCTACAAAATAACCGCAACACTTTTATTCCTGTAGTTAATATTGTTTAAAACTTATATCCCTCCATATAATTGACAATGAAGTCTTATCACCCTTATATATGCCTTTTGAGCATGGAAGCTATACTGCATTCTTAGTTCCTCATGCAACACAAAGTACTGGTGGAGAGTAAAACCAATACCATAATATTAAACAAAACAAAATAAAACAAAACCAAAAAAACACCTTACCATAGCCACCCAATCCATCAGGAGTACCATATCCTCCACTGTAACTGCTGCCCATTCCCATTCTTCCAACTGAACCATAACCACCTTGCTCTGGAAAAGAGCAGTTACCATTAGCCTGTAGAAATCATGTACAGATTTAATTTGAATTAAAAATCTGAAATTAAGCCTACCCATGCCATCTCTGCCATAGCCTCCCATTCCAGAACCACCTCCAGCAGTTGAATTCAGGAACAGCTCAATGTATCGATGCTCTTTAAAAGAAGAAAAAGTTTACTCCCACAAATGCAAGTATTACAATTATCCATACAAAACCAAGGGAAAATGTACAAAAGTTCAGACATATTTATTGTAACTTACGCATATGATTTTTATCTTTAGACATGGCAGCCACTGCATCTTCATGTGTCACAAATTCCACATCAGCCTCTCCAGTTGCTCTGCCATCTGCTCCAATGTCAATATGAACCCTTATAGGAGTCAGTGGTGAGAAAAACTAAAAGAAAGCAGTAAGTTAAAATTCCTCAAATTTAATCCACTATTTTTAAGCCTGTCATGTCCAATCTACAATTAGTTGTGAAAAATAAATCACACTTCTATCGTGCACATGCATTTTATGATACACTGCTTCTGATTTGCTGGTCTATTATTAGTTACTATCATGAAGTCCACTGGAATTGGGTGGCTAATAAATTAAAACAAACATACAAAAAATAAACTGTCTAGGAAAGCACCCAAAGCTTACTAGTTTTTCTAATTTGCACAGCCATTGCAGCAGCATATACAATTACTTCCTTAGTTGCTTTTTGTGTACAGAAAAATGTAAATAATGTGCTACTGCCTTAGGTAGAATATCCATAAACCATACACTGGAGTGATGTTGAAATATCAAGCAGAAATAACTGAGCTGATATGGATGAAGCATGTGGAGCCCAAATTCCTATGACTTCCCTTCTATTAACACTGCAGGCCCAGTGTAGCTCAATTATACTTCTGATGACTACATTTGGTTAATATGATACCAATAACATTTACACTTTCCCATTAACCTGCAGTTACTTTTAGTCAAAACATTTTTTCTTTTCAGCAACTTGTATCCTATTAGTATATTGAAGGCTACAATTAGCAGACCCCCCTCTCATCTTTTTCACTGATTTACTTACCTATTTTATACTGTTGCTACTATTCAACATCATTCCCAGTAAGCCACTATTTACCTTTTTAATTTATTAATTTATTTACCTATTTATGTTATGGCCACCCCCCCCCCCTTATAAACATCTCTTCATTTGAAGATTTCCAGTTCCATCAGCAAGAAAAATACATCAGCACAGAAGAATCACTCAACACAGAGATGTAATAGCTACATTTGTAGAGTTTCTATATTAAATTTGACTGAAGATGCCAGATGCCTATGTCAAGGTTTTCAACTTGATATAGATCACATGGCTGGCCAAAAGAAATTGAACAATAGCAACTATACTAAGTTCTTGTATTTGCTATAAGAAATTCTCTATCACACCTTTTTATTGTAACAATGGCTTTTTAAAATTTTGATTATCAGATTTACTAACCAGAGAAGAAAGGTAGGGGTATAAATCAAATAAATACTGGGGTTTCTTTTTCTTTTGTATTTGTTTTTTTCTCTTTGTTTAATTAAATAGTCTCCCCATCTCAAAGGGGATTCTAGCATAAAATGTGCAGTTCAATTATTTTCAAATATGACTAGTTTTCAAGTACTAAAAGTAACACATGAATTTAATAACTTTATGTGCTTTTTAAATTCTCCTCCCAAGATAGCCAAAAAAAAAAAAAAAAAAATTTCTCTGGAACTTCTTAGTACTTTAACAGTTGCATCTGATTCCAGATGTGAAACTTTTCATCTCTGGGGAAAAAAATCCTAACATACTTGTTTCAGCTAGAAATATTTTCCACAATACTCACATTAGCAATATCATTTTCAGTTGCTCGAAAAGGCAAACCTCTCATGTGAACAAAATGGCCACCATGGAAGCCTGAGCTCGCATCTCCTGCTCCACCGTAGCCGTGGCCTCCCATTCCTAAAAACAAAACACGTCCATGAAGGCGCAACTGACTCTAGACGGAGGATATACACTGCACCTCCTCTAAAAAAGTGAAATACAGTTGCAACATCCTAAGTGCACCAATCAGTTCCTGTAATAACGATTTCGTCTAGCAGCACTGAGGCAGCACATACCATTTCTTCCACTCAGCTGATTATACACAGGACACTTCAAAGCAATACCCCTATTTCTAGCTGAGTTTGCTACAGGGAGGCAGCTCAAGAACATGGTAACATTTTTTTCCTTACCTCTCCCATCTCTCATTCTGTCATCATAGCCATCATTTCCATAGGCATAATTGTTATAGCCACCATACTCATCAAAGCCACCATATCCTGTGAGATTTAAGAGGGGGACAGACTGTGAAGAGTCTTTAAACATAAAAAAGGATGTTAACTTTGTGCATAGAATCAAATTGACTTGTTATGAAATACAATCATTTTTATATATGCATTTGAACAGGCTCAAAGACATGCAAACCAAGTTTCATTCATATTTAAAATCTCATTTCAGATGCCTCCCCATACCTTTTCAATCTCTAGTCACATGGCTGGCAGAAACAAAATAACAGATAGCTAGATTTCAGACTTGGTATGTATTATAATTACTGTCATTTCTGTATTTCTTGACAAAATGTCAGGAATGTGAAAATGACAAGAGCCTGTGGTCATTAGATACACATACCACCGTCATATCCACCACCTCCTCGACGCATTCTGTCATACATACTTCCACGCCCAGCTCCATAATAACCCCCTCTTCCTCCCATTGGTCTATCATATGGTCCAGGTCGCTGTCCCATCATTCTTCGTGGTGGATCATAGAAGCCTCGGATTTCACTCCTACTACTTTTGAAGATCTCAATATATCTGAGTAAAAAAAGATTTATAATGTACAAATGTAAGAATACAGATACATAATGCTTGGAAAAAATACAATGACAAACTGCACAAATGTTTGAATTTTAAATCTAGATATAGCATTGAAGAGAAGTGAACACTTTTTTTCCAGTGTCACTTAAACTTTAGGATTTAGGATATTAAATGCAAAAGCAAGCAGTTCTGTGATTTACTTTACTGACTAAAAATTCTAACTGCAAATTAAATACAGCAAATCTCTGAACCACACT